TATAGCAATAATTGTTTTACGGATGTTCCAAAGTGCTATTACCGATGAAATGTTTCGAAATAACGTCCATGCATATGTAAGCAGACAGTGAGTGAAGATAATGCAAAAATTTATTATATACTTGTACGATATACATGTATGTGTGTGTGTGTGTATGTGTGTGTGTATGTATGTATGTGTGTGTGTGTGTGTGATTGTGTTAAATATATATCACAACTCTTATAGATTATTAATGTTTTAAACATTTTCATAATATTTACAATATTTTATAATTCCTTCGTTTCGAATCCGTCCATTTTTTTTCCAATTTCATTTGTTTATGTCTTTTTAATTATTTGTCCGTTTACATATTAACTTAATTTTACTTTCAAAAAATAAGCGGCTATATTTTTAAGTCTTAGAGTCAGTCTAGGCGACTTTCATCTCTAATATGTGTGTGACATGGAATTGTGTTGTATAATTCTATGTATATTATAAGTTAAGTTATAACTCTCATTTTTATTTTCCATCCGTTATGCTCATCATTAACAATAACTTTTTAAATTTAGGACGTTCGTTTCAATAATATCTTATAATTTTTGGTCCATGAAAGAAGAATTAGATGAAGCATATAACTGTAATTTACCATCGAATGAGTTCTTAACTTGGATCAAGTACAAACATCATCCTGTTGTATTCTGGGAACAATTCGAACATTCCCGAGTTACAAATAGAATATCGCAACGTTATAATACAACGAGTTACGGGAAGTGGTTGATACCCATAGCTTTAAGGCAAATATCATCATTAAATGGAAATATGTGGAAAATATGTTTAAAACCAAATATTGATTCTTCCGAGTTTCCCACAACTTTTTTAAATGAAGTTTGGATGGTAAACTTTCAGCAAGCTGGTAAATGCACAAAAAAAATTCAACAATTTTTATGTAATTATGAAAATAGTAAGAAATACTTCTGGAAATATTTTCACATTAAGTGGTATAGTCGATGTTCCACTAAAATAATGAAAATATGCATGATGAGTGTTCTCATTATATGAAACGTAGGAATGCATGTACCCAAAACACAGTATGTCTATTATAGATACAGTAATTTTCAGTATATTTCATTGTACAAGTATGTATTAAGTCTCTTTAATCTAAAAAAGAAGATGAAACGAAGAAAAGTATTTCTCTCAGTATCAATCTCGTAAAATATGTAGTACATTTCTATAAAATACTTTTCTTGTTAATGAATAGGATACTATCGAGCCAAATATGATTCAGTAACCTGGGGCATCATTGCAAAACATTTAAATGATACAGCTGGACATTATGAGGATATAAGTGTAATCAACCGTGCTAAAATCATCGATGATGCGTTTCATTTAATGATTAATCGTCAGCTCAATGTATCAGAATTTTGGAATCTTACGCAATTTTTATCGCAAGAAACAAATTTTGTAGTGTGGTATCCAATGCTTAAAGTGTTTGAATATATGTCAAGTATATTTCCACTTTTGAAAGGAGAAATTTGGTTTACCGATATTATAGTAATGGCCAATGAATGTTATATCAAACAAATAATATTAATTTATAGTTAT